CTTCGGCTGTTAGCCCCGATGCCTGAGGAGGGACAAAAGTTTCTCTTAAACCTGCAGCCACCTACCTCAAGCTGAAGCTGGTTCCCTTAAAATTGGTCAGCTGGGACCCCCCCATGTGTGGCATCGCAGTGATGCTCTCCCGGGATGATGCTCACAGGTGAATGCGCACGAGTCTTGGCGGCGGACAGAGACGTTCCTGCCCACACCTGCCTCTTCCTCGCGCCCCTGCCAGTTGCTGCCAGCCTGAGTTTTGGTGATGGCTTGAGGTAAGATGCCAGGCTGAGATGCGGACACGCATCTTGTCCTACCAGCCCTGCTAAGGGAGTGCTGACGTCCATCAGGGAGATGGGGCAGGCAGCAGAGGGGTGACGTCTCAGCCGCCACAGCAAGACCTGCAGCAGCTCATGTACCAGACACCCCACTTCCCTCTGCTTGTCCCCAAGGACAGTGCGTATCCAAAGAAAGAGGGGCGTTACCTCTGACTTTGCAGGAAGAGAAAGGAGGCAAACGTATCGGTCAATCATTAGCCAAGCCACTCACTTCACACAGCACTGGAACGGAAAGTCGTAGAATCATAGAATCATTAAGGTTGAAAAAGACCTCTAAGATCATCGAGTCCAACCGTCGACCCACCACCACCATGCCCACTAAACCATGTCCCTAAGCGCCTCATCTACTCATCTTTTAAATAGTTCCAGGGATGGGGACTCAACCACTTCCCTGGGCAGCCTGTTCCAATGTTTAACCGCTCTTTCAGTAAAGAAATTTTTTCTCAAGTCGCAAACAAGGGAGGCAAAAGCATCCCGCAGGGGCAACATGGCAAGTACAGGACAGCAGAGTGGGGCTTGGGAGAGAGGCTCAAAAGGATGAGCACGCTGAAAAATAAACCCTGCTATAACACAAGTTTCCAATTTGAGAATATTAAGGTTTTTTTCACAGGGTCTTTTTTTCTTTTTGCTGAAGATGATATATTTCAAATAGCTTCCAGAGCAACAACAGTTGTGTTACCTTGTCTTTGCCTTCCTTCCTCCTCCCAGCCTCAGGAAAAAAAAGGTCAAGCTACAAAGCCATATACAGAGAGGAATTTTTCAGGTGAAGCACCGAACCAGAAGGAAAAAAGATGGAAGAAAGTGAGATAGTAGCAGGGAATGAAGCCATTTGAGCAGCAACGCCTTCCTCAGCACAGGAACACAAACACGCAAAGTCCTGAGCACTCAGGAGGCAAGGACTCTGTGCATTTAGCACCATAAAGCTTGAGCAAGCATCAGCCCCGTAGTTCCCCCAAGCAGGAACAGCAAGACGAACTCGCCTCCTCCACCATTCCCTCTCATCCCACCTGCCTTGGCTTCCTGCTCTGGAAGCGAGGAGAACAGGGAGTCACTCACGGCAGGCCACACGCATGCGGCGGGGCAGGGAACCCTGCCTGGGCACCGTTTCGTCCCGCTTTAGAAGCGCGAGTGAGCACATGCCTAAATCTTGGTGCCCAGGGACAGATACTCAAGAACATCCCGCCCTCGCCTGTCCCTTGGTGCCGAGGCCTGGTCGTTGGCTAGTCTCAAAATACTCATTTGTGACTCTAGTGACCAGGGTAAAACCAAAATTCCGCACCACTTTGAAAATTTGTTCACTGGTGTTGGAAAAACCACAAAGCTGGGCTCTTCAGGAAAGCCTGACTTCCAGGTCTTAATTTTCACAGATTTCACACGCCTCATATTGGCTCCGCTTGGAGCTTTTTGCAGCGAGCGCTTCTGAAAATCTGCCTCTAAAAACACAGGCGGGCGCACGCCAGCTGAGCAGCAGGCCTCTCTGCGGGGGCAGTCACGGGCAGCGCCTTCATCCTCCTGCCGCGGCTTCACCCTCGCGTTTCTGCCGAGGCACCCACCTCCGAGCGAGCTTCCGAGTGGCTGAAGAGGGACGTGCACCCGCGGTTAATTGCCTGTTTGTGCCTCTATAAAATACACGGCTTTGAGGCACGCTGCGAGCTGGTAGCGGCACGGGCGCGCAAACGTCAAGCTCTCCTCTGCGGCACCCGGCGAGGAGGGCCGTCACCCCGGCATTACGGGCTCCTCGCTGTAACTT